ATCGAACCCAGGGTTTCATGTATGCTAGGCAAGCACTCTACCGCTAAGCCACATTCCCAGCCCAAGGAGGGATTTTTGAAGGGTAAAGTATTGTCTTAAACTGGTTTCTTTTCAAGTTGGAATTAAGACACACCTCAGGTTGTTCAAGAAATAAGGGGGTGTGGGTAAGTCTTTTAATGGCCACCTTATGTAAATGCGTTTTATCTTGTTCAAACTAGCTAGTTGCCAACACACTGTGAATCTGATTTCAATCAATCTGAGCAGAGGTGGAGGACATGCTTTCTTAGGGGTAAATAAGGGAGCAGCCTGCCTTCTCTGTGTGCTTGCTTGCCAAATTTTTGGCTGATGGCCCATCCTTCTGCAGAAGTAAAATTTGCTTTGCTGAGTCAATTCTTTATTTTCATGTCAATTGCTGTGAGTCCATTGGTTGTTAGAGAGCATATTTATAACAGTAAGTAGCACAGATTAAAGAATAGATCTAGTATAATTTAAATTTTAGCAAGGATTTGTTTTAGTATAACTGGGTAAAAGTAGGGAGAACTAGAAAAGGAGAGAAAGTAATTTCCTGCTCCCCATGCAGGTTATGGAAAGTTAAAGAATCCACAATAAATACTCTTGAATGACCCCTTCAATGAGTAAGATAGAAAGGCAGTTGATTCATGAAAATAATATAGTCTGGAGAAAAATTTGAATTTGGATGGAAAATGCTGGGTTTCACATAAGATAACTTTTTTTTTTTTTTTTTGGGTCCGGTCGTGGGGCCTGAACTCTGGGCCTGGGCGCTGTCCCTAAGCTCTTCAGCTCAAGGCTAGCACTCTACCACTTGAGCCACAGCACCACTTCCGGCTTTTTTCTTATGTGGTGCTGAGGAATAGAACCCAGGGCCTCGAGCATGCAAGGCAAGTGCTCTACCACTGAGCCACCTTCCCTGCCCAAGATAACTTTTTTGTTGTTGTTGGTGGTGGTGGTGGTGGTATTGGTCGTGGCTTGAACTCTGGGCCTGGGCACTGTCCCTGAGCACTTCAGCTCAAGGCAAGTGCTCTACCACTTGAGCCAAAGTGCCACTTCTGGTTTTCTGGTAGTTTATTGGAGAAAAAAGTCTCAAGGACTTTCCTTGCTGGGGCTGGCTTTGAATCATGATCCTCAGATATCAGCCTCCTAAATAGCTAGAATTACAGGTGTGAGCCACCACTGTCCCGTGAGATAATCTTAAATATCCACTTGCAAATATCTTCTAGGCATGTACAGAAAAATCATTCAAAAGCTCAGAAGAGAGGAAATCATCAAAGAAGCTCCTCCCCCTCCCCCGCCTACCCCCTCTCCCCCCAAAAACCCTCCAAGGCATCCTATCATAACGGAATGTGGTGCTACTTCATAGCCCTTCAGGTCCTGGTTCTTCCTTTAGGGGGCACCAACATCATCAATGCATGGACTGGACTGGAAAGAAACGGTCCCAGGGAAAATGTCGTCCAGATGTTGATGGAAGGATCTGAAAGTGGCTTATAGCACTTCCAGATATATTCTCTTCCTTCACAGCTCTCTCTCCTGGAAGCTAGCCTCTGTAGATGACCATGTTTCTTTCTTCCCCTCTGACAAAGGATATTTCAATAATGGATTCAGAGGATGAGAGGTAATCAGTAGGAGAAAGAGCATAAGCAAAAGGGAGAGCCCTATAGGAGTATCAATAATATTATATCTCCTCTGACACTTTGTCTCTTCTTCACCTATCCCTATTGTTATTTTGCCAGTAATTTCTGGCAGTGGCTACATATTGTTAACAGTCATAGATAGAGTCTCATGAGTAGTTACTGTTCTGTGGTTGCAGCTTTTGCTAATTTCATATATATATATATATATATATATATATATATATATATTTCATTCAGTCCTGGGAGTTTTAACAGCTTCCTGCATTTAATTATCTTCAGCAGTTTCTCTATTCTTTGTGGGGTCTTTGACTGTGCCTCTTCTTTAAGTTATCCCTTCCTTAATCTTTCTTCAACTAAATAATTTAAATTTCTTATATTTCCTGTTGAAACCCTAACTGATACACTGCTTACTTCAAATTAATTCCATTTCAATTACCAGTGCAATATTTTGTGGGTAACTTAATTTGTTCTGTCAAAGGGATGCAAGGGAATTCAGTAGGCAAAATTCCTTATCATTACTATATCATGAAAGTTTTAAGGTTCTTCATTTAATTTCGGAAATGCATATTCATGATGTCTCTAATGTCCATCTATTGCTATAGACACAAAAAAACCATAAAGCAACCAATATAGACAATCCATAAAGCAATAAACAATTTGAACTATTGTATTATTTTTTCTGAAGCTTTCCCCTTCTCTTATTGGAGTCCATTGCTCTATACACCAAGGATACTATATCATAGATGGACTTTAAGGTTTGTTTGTTGAGACTGAATCTTGCTAGGTTGCCCAGGCTTCTCTCAAACTCCTGGGCTTAAGCAAAATTCCTACCTCAACTTCCTACCTTAAGCTTCCAAGTAGTTGAGATGCTATAGGCACATATAATTTCAGTTACAATAGCTATCATTTCTTGTATGCTTCCTACATGCCACAAAATGTAGCCAGGCACCGGTGTCTGACGTCTGTAATCCTAGCTACTCAGGAGGCTCAGATCAGAGGATCGTGGTTCAAAGCCAGCCCGGGCAGGAAAGACCGTGAGACTCCTATCTCCAAAAAACCACTAGAAAACCGGAAGTGGAATTGTAGCTCAAGTGGTAGAGCACTCGCCTTGAGCTGAAGAGCTGAGGGACAGCCCCCAGGCCCAGAGTTCAAGCCCCACATCTGACAAAAAAAATGTGCTAGGTTATTCCTTACTTTTATTTTTTTAAGAACTATCAACATAAACATTAATATTCTCATTTTATAGATTAGGAAAGCAAGTCTCAGAGAGACTAACTTACCCAAGTTTGGATAGATAGCATGTGTGGAGAATTAAATCAAATAATACATTTTGCAAGGCCATGCTCTTACCCTCTAGGTTCTAATGATACAGGCCAAGTACTCCTTAACTGGATTATGAGCTTAGAAATAAAAAAAATTCGTAATTGTAGTAATAGATTGTGAATAGGGATTAGTAATGAGTGTGAGAGAGACTTGCTTTTTCGACAGTGCAAAGGGCATAGTATATTAAGCTCTAGACAGGAAGGGGTGAAAATGAATTTTAGATTATTAAACAGGTTACTTGAGTTGAGAATGAGGAATGATTGGTTTCTCACATATGTTTAGAAAAACAGATAAGAAATCAGGAGTTTGTTCCCACCATACAACAGTCCCTGAGTTATTAAGTTGGTGAAACTTCATAGTGTTTTTATTTTGATTTCTTTTTCTTTTTGACAGCATAGGGCTGGAACTGGGTGCTCTCCCTGAGCTCTTTTGTCCAAGGCTTAATTGGAGATAAGAATTTTATTGGACTTTTCTGTTTGCTAGCTTTGAATTGCGATCTTCAGATCTCAGCCTCCTAAGTAGCTAGCATTACAGGCAGGAACCACCAGCTGCTGCTACCGCCTCCTCTTCCTCTTCCTCCTCCTCCTCCTCCTCCTCATCCCTTCCCTTCTCTTCCTCTTCCTGCTCCTCCTCCTCCCTTTTTCTTTTTTGCCAGTCCTGGGGCTTGAACTCAGGGCCTGGGCACTGTCCCTAAGCTGCTTTTTGCTCAAGGCTAGCACTCTACTGCTGGACCCACAGCACCACTTTTGGCCTTTTCTGTTTATGTGGTACTGAGGGATCAAACCCAGAGCTTCATGCATGCTAGGCAAGCACTCTACTACTGAGCCACATTCCCAGGCCCTCATACAGTTTTCTGAATCAAACACTTATTAGATTTTTGTTGTTGTTTGTGCCATCTTGGGGCTTGAAATCAGGGCCTGGGCATTGTCCCTGAGTTTTATTTGCTCAAGGCTAGCACTATTCTTTGTAGAAGACAATGGGATAAACTTGCAGTCCACTTTTTACTGTTGGTATACTTTTGTTCCCTCTAGCTTCCTAAAGGCAACACATGATATTAAGTTTTATATTTCCAATGTTTTCCAATGTCTCATAGATGTCTGTTGAGCTAATTTCAGGCATTTTGCCAGTGCATCCATAATCTGAGTAAAGCTTAAAAGGGAGCCAGAAAAATGTCTATAAGGAAAAGCAGCAAGATGCACTATTTTGAGTATTTTTGTATATGCGTCTTTGTGAACACTGGAGGGCAAAATACACTCCCAAAGAACAGAATAAATATCTTGGTTGAGGTTATCTGGAATAAGTTTGACAATTTATAAATACATTGGAATGTGACACTGAATATATGTTGGGGGTTATGGGAGAAATGCCAAGAAATTGGTTCAAATTTTTTTTGGGGAGGCGGGCAGGTAATATAATAATGCTCTTTTGGCTAATTGGCCTAACTAGGGTCTCCTCCAAAAGCTGTTCTTAGACAAAATGTTCAAGGGCATTAAAAGACGATAGCAATACACGGATAAGGTTTTTCCCTCATGTTTTCAACATTGCTTGCCCTCTCCTGCCTCCTTGTTTTTGGATTGGTTTTTTTTTTTTTTTGGTAAATCAAAACTATATTTTCCAAGACACCATGCCTTAAGACATGTTAAAACAAACAACACCCCTGCCTGGACTTGGAAGCTGCAGGTGTCTCTCTCCCTGGGGCTGGGCGGTGCGCTCCAGCTCCCCAGGTCTCCGCGGTGGCTGGGTGGGGGAGCTTCTCAAGGGGTCCAAGGCGAGCAGAAGCCCCCAGCCCCAGGCAGTCTGCAACAAGCACAGGCGAGAAGCTCCCCGGCGGCTCCTCGGGGCTGCAGCTTCCCCTGGTCTTCGGGGGTCCCATGGCTAGGACGCGGAGCGCGGGCCAGGGGCCGCGCCTGGTAGCTGTCTCTCAAGCGCAGCGACCACGGCAACCCTCGCCCCCAGCTGGCTCGCAACCCGGAAGTAGAAGCGGGAACGCTGTGGTGCCCGGGTTTATGGTTCCGGGTCCGGCTGCGCTGCAGCCCGCGCTCTGCTCGCCGCGCCGCTCCCCGCCCCCCGCTCTCCGGACCCGGTCCCATCGCGGCTACGGGGGGCCGCTCTCGGGGGGCCTCATGGCCGAGGGGGACGCAGGGAGCGACCAGAGGCAGGTGAGGCCCTAGCGGAGCGCCGACCTTCCTGGCTCAGCTCGGCCTCGCCTCATCTTCCCAGGCCGCCGCCTCCCGGGGCCACCCCGGGTCGCGCCCGCACTGCCCGGACCTCTCGGCCTTGCCGAGTGCTCCACCGCGGTCCATTGTGCCAGCGCTTCCCCTCAGCCCAGCTCTCCTGGGCCGGCTGCAGGCCCGGCCCAAGGCCGCTGTCCTCGTCTACCATTGGCACGCGCCTGAGCAACTCGGGGCCCAAGGCTGGAACCCGGGTTCTGTACCTTACTGGGTCACCGAGGCCCGGTCCTTAAGCCCAGTTTTTGTTTTTCCCTTTGAGGGGGAAAAAGTGCATTGACACCGACCCTGCAGTTCCTTGAGAGCCCGTGGATCTCTTGGTCTGGAGTTTTCTCCCGTGCGTGGTTCATGTGGGTGCTCATAAGGCATTTCTTACCGGGCCCTGTGGATACAATGAATTTATCCAAAGTCGAATGCCTGTATAGGCTTCCCATTTTTCACCATGAGATCTAGTTATTTCTAATCTCAAAGCAAAAGAATGTTTCAAGGTCTGATTACCAAAACGAAACAAAATCAAGGCCTAGTTTCAGAAAAAGAAAAAGGAAAACAACTCAGCTGGAATGTAGGCAGAATGAAAAACTATTAGGAATGGTCCTGGGGGCTGGATTTCTGTCTTGTTTATCTTTGCACCTGTGAATCACCTCAGGATAAGGAAAAGGCCAAAGCCTTGGTAATGCAGGAGGAAGGCTAGTACCAGTCATGGCAGTAAGTCAGAAAACGAGTTAAGAGTAAGAGATGGTTGTCCTACTGCTAAGCACTTTTGACTTCCCCCAGGCTAGTGATAGGTTTGTACATTTGCTGACCTTTTCTTCTTTAATCACCTTTTAGAATGAGGAAATTGAAGCAATGGCAGCAATTTATGGCGAAGAATGGTGTGTCATTGATGACTGTGCCAAAATATTTTGTATTAGAATTAGCGACGATATAGATGACCCCAAGTGGACACTTTGCTTGCAGGTATATATTTTTTTCTTTTTCTCTGCCGCCATTTTCCTGTCCCAGTAGTTAATATGTGGTTGAACATATTCTTACATGAGTTATTTTCTGAGTAGTCTCTATTAATTTTTGTCATGATTATGTATGAATCACGCTCAAATCTTGCTTTTATTAGTCGTTTGAATCTTTATCTCAATTATTGTAACTATTAAAAATGTTAATGTACCGTTGACAAATGAGTTTTACTTCCTTTTGTTAATCCATCTATGTAATATGCAAAGGTCTAAACCTCTAAAGATGGTCTAAACCATTAATAATGTGACTGATCCATAGAGTAGACACATTTCTTTATTGAGAATTAGAATAAAATAAATGGAAAGATCAGCATGGCTTCCTTAGTGCTTATTTGCTTAGTACTTATGCTTTCAACATAAAGGATGCTAAGTTGAGCGTCAGTATTTGTTATGATAATACTAATTTGAAAATAAATGTATATGATTCTGTATTAAGTAACAGCCTTTTCTGTATAGTGTATATGATAAATTTCACAGGATTTTTTTTTTTTTTTGTATCCAGGAAATTTTACGGAAAATGATACAAATTGCCCATTGGGAGGGCATGGCGTTATGGCTGTTTTAGCTTTCTTTTTTCTTTCATTCCCCTCACCCTCATTTGTTCTCATCTTTATTGTTTTTATATTTTCTCTGCAAACAATTTGCTCCTCTTTTGGAGGAGCTAACATTGGCAGTCACACAATATATTCAGTATGGAAGTATAAATTTGCGGAGGGAATTCTCTTCTGATGTCTAATATAAAAATGGTTTGGGAAGTGGTGCTGTAGCTCAAGTGGTAGAGTGCTTGCCTTGAGCTGAAGAGCTGAGGGACAGCACCCAGGCCCAGAGTTCAAGCCCCATGACTGACAAAAAAAAAAAAAAAGAAAAGAAAAGAAAAGAAAATACTGGGAGAGAGTAAAATATTGTTTAAAAAAATGGTTTGGCAGATTAGAAATTTGTGAATTGACTAGCTTGATTATTTTTGATGCATGATGAAGGAAGTGTAAACAGATTTGTTTTAAACTGCATTGTAGGTGATGCTTCCTAGTGAATATCCAGGTACAGCTCCACCTATTTATCAGCTGAAGTAAGCTATATTTCTCCTTTTATATTTTTACAAAAAAATTTGTGCTGTAAAAGGTATTTTTCCATACTGTACATTGTGTTTATGTGAAATACGTTAAAAATTGAAATGTATATAGAAATTAAAAACACATGATTTGGCATAGAATATGTAACTTAAAAAAGAAAACCTAAAAACACATTGAAAGCTGTGCATTACCAGCTCAATGCTTGTAATCCTAGCTAATCAGGAGACTGAGATCTGAGGATCATGGTTTAAAGTCAGCTGGGGGAAGAAAGTGGAGCTGTGGTTCAAGGGATAGAAGGCTACCTTTGAGTGAAAAAGTTCAGAGACAGTGCCTAGGTCCTGAATTCAAGCCAACACAAAACAAAACCTCACCCACATTGAGAAACATGAGATACAGCCCAAGAGGTAGATCACCAGCCATGAACAGTATGAGGTCCTGAATTCAAATCCCAGGATCTTAACAAACCAACAAACAAAAAACCCTACACATTGACATTTGCATCTTAGTAAAAAGCAGTCACAGAGTGCAAAGGGGTAAAATAACTAGAATAGTTATTCCAGTTAGGAATCTGGAAACTGGCCCTTGGAGTTTATTTTTCCTAACCTAGTTCTGCTGACAGTTACAGTTCCTTTTTGACCTTTACTTAAAACAGCCAGCCTTCTAGGAGTTAGCCAGCATGCTTCTGGTGATTCTTCTTGCCCCTTTCTTCTTGTTATTGAGGAACTATTTTTTTTAGTAATCTAAAATTAACCTTTATTCCTTATGATCTGTTGATGCAAGTGACCTGTGATCTACTTTGCTGATTTTGGCAATATTTTTTGCAAAATAAATTTGCAAAAAAAACTTACTAACACTTTTATCTAGTAGTGGGATTATTTTTTATGTATTTTAAAACCATAGTAATGCCAGGCACCAGTGACTGATGCCTACAATCCTAGCTGCTCAAGAGGGTGAGAGCTGAGGATTTGGGTTCAAAGCCAGTTTGAGAGACTCTTACCTCCAGTTAACCAGAAACAAGTCAGAATTGGAGGTGTGGGTCAAGTGCTAGCCTTGAGCAGAGAAATCTAGGAGAGAGTGGAAGACCCTAACTTCAAGCCCTACTACTTTCTTTTTTTTTTTGGTTCCGGTCGTGGGGCCTGAACTCTGGGCCTGGGCGCTGTCCCTCAGCTCTTAAGCTCAAGGCTAGCACTCTACCACTTGAGCCCAGCGCCACTTCCAGCTTTTTTCTTTTTGCTTATGTGGTGCTAAGGAATCGAACCCAGGGCCTTAGGCATGCAAGGCAAGCGCTCTACCACTGAGCCACCTTCCCAGCCCCTCTACTACTTTCATGTACACACAATAAATAAATAAACCTATAGTAGTAATTAGTAAAAGAACTCGTGTGTGTGTGTGTGTGTGTGTGTGTGTGTGCGCGCGCGTGTGCGTGTGCGCGTGCCTCGTGGGGCTTGAACTCAAGGCCTGGGCTCTGTCTCTCAGCTTTTTCACTCAAGACTAACACTCTACCACTTCAGGTTTTCTGGTGGTTAATTGGAGATGAGAGTATCACTGGCTTTCCTGCCTGGGCTGGCTTTGGACCCATGATTCTCAGATCTCAGCCTCCTGAGTACCTAGGATTACAAGTGTAAGCCACCTGTGACCAGCTCATTTTTATTTAATGGAAATGATAAATACGAAGCAGGAGAGGCGTAATCCTTGTATAAAATAGGAGCCAGCGACACTCTTGTATTTATCTGTTCTCTTTTTAGTCAGTTACTTAAAAAAAAAAACAACCCAACAAAAACAAAAAAAAGCTGTACATTTTAACATAAAATAAATTATGATGAGCCATTTTTTAAAAAAATGATAAATACAGAAAAATTTTTAAATCTTAATGTTTTTAGAAAAAGCTAAATGTTTTTCACAATCATCTGGGAACTACCTTATTTGTAAGAGTTGCTTTGGAGAGACCAGGTAATAAAATTGGAACTCCTAGTATTATGGCACATATTGTTAATCTGGATATTTAGCTTCTACAATCAGTTCTGTCACTTAAGTAAACTTGGAAAGTTTATGAGATCCTATGAACTTATCTTTGTGTTTGTTCATTAAAAAAAAATTATATAGTACCTGTCCAGGTGCTTGAACTAAGAGCCTGGATGCTGTCCCTTAGCTTTTGTGCTCAAGGCTGGTGCTCTGCCACTTGAGCCACAGCTCCACTGGATATTTGGTTGTTAATTGGAGATAAGAGCCTCATGGACTTCCCTGCCCTGGCTTGTTTTGAACCCCTATCCTCAGATCTCAGCCTTTTGAATGTCTAGGGTTACTAGTACCTGGCTTTCATCTTTATTTTTTTAAGCCCTTAAAACAGGCTAATTTGGTGTTGATTTTGTCATGGTTTGTGAGGAAGATTAATAAATTAATGCTAATGAAAGAGTTTCAAATTTGCATAGTATACAAATATAGACACAATTTACCTGAAAGCAGATACTTTAAAAAATTAAAATAATTTGTGTACTAATCAGTAATTTCTGTTTGAAATATAAACAGAATCTTTGGATAATCTTTTTTTTTAATTGTGTTTTATTCAATTAGTGCTCCTTGGTTAAAAGGGCAAGAACGTGTGGATTTATCGAACAGCCTTGAGGAAATATATATGTAAGTAACAGGTGATTTTTAAAAATTTTGTTAGTGATTGTACTTGTGAAACTTATCTTACTATCCCTTTGGTCATACTAACTTTTTATTAATAAAAAGATTGCTTGAATTGTATCCATTCTGTATATCATCTATATAGTAAAATTTTTAAAAATTGAAAAAAAACTTACTTGAAGAGCCCTTGAAAGGTTATTTATGTAATTTCATATATTCATTTGATATAAAAACACAGTAACATTTAGAGCTAATGGGTATAAAACATTTAGCTGACTTGTGAAGTAAGTTCAGAGAATTCCTCTTGTATGTTTATTTTCAAGAGATAGGCAGAAATGAAATTGACAGCAGGTGAATTCTAACCACAGGTTCTTGTTAAATGTCTAAATACCTTGCTCATTCATTTATTCATTCAATGAATGCTACATGACAAATACTACTTTAGATCCTAGATACACATGATTAGCATAAACAGAAAGTTGTTTATTTTTTTTATGGCATTTAGCATTTACCAGCAGGAGCAAGGGAAAGATATTCCGTAAAGCCTCATGAAAATGAGTGTAAACTATAGCTTGGGTTAAGTTGTATAAAAGAAAGATCAGCAATATGGTACTAATTGAGTTGGGGGGAAAAAAATAACGAACAAAAACTTCTTAGCCTAGGAAGGGAGGGAGCATCTTCTTCTAGAACTGAGTTAGTTTGGTGAAGTTAAATCCAGTGAGAGGCCATGGTGTGTCTGAAGGTTTTGTGTCAGGAAACTACATCATTAAGGAATTAGTAATGGTGATAGCAGTGGGAAGAGGGCCTGGACCAGGTAGTTAGGGAAGATCCATTGAAGTTTTAAAGGCTATATTGAGGAGCTTTTTCTTTGTCCTAAGAAAAATTGAGGCAGTTTTAAGTAATGGGGTACCAATAATAAGATTTTCATTTTGAAAAAAATCATCCTATTGCTATATGGAGATGGATTGGAAAATAGCAAAAATGTGTGGGAAACCAGTTTGGAGGCTGATACATTAGCCCAGAAGATATGATGGATTTGGCTTAATTTTAATGAGATATATTAATTTATTAAATAATATTCTGGAATATCAGTTTTTTCCAATTCAGGAACTAGTAAAGATTCTATTATATTTCTAGGTGGCCATCCCATTTGGTACAGTGAGAGTACCCCCTTTGTGTCCTTGGGATCCAGGCAGGTTTCTTTTCCTCCCAAAATATTTAATTAGAAAATGGTAAGTCACCATGGAATCCATTCTACTTGTTTTCTTCTTAAAGGAAGTGTGGTCTTCTTGGGCCCCTGTTTAGTGATTCTGTTATCTTCAGTATGTAGATGTTATTTTCTCAACTAGATAATTTTTGATATCTGTCCCTAACCTTACCGGTCACTCCAACTTTTATGTTCCCAACAAACTTCTTGGTATAGTCCAGTTTTTTTGGCCAACTTTTCTCTACCTTAATATAGAGTAAGATAAGTACACTGAAAAGTTGCTTATCATTGATGTCTTAATTATACATCTGATGGTCATTTTTCAGCTCTTATTTTACTTGATCTCGTAACTTTCATATTCACCACTTCTTTCTTGAAAATCTTTCACTTTTGACTTCTATTCATGTTAATTGTATTCACTAGTTAGATTTTTCATCTATTTATGCATTATTTTGAAGTAGCTTCTCAATCACCCTTATTTTGTCCCAAAGTCCTTCGTGTGTGTGTGTGTGTGTGTGTGTGTGTGTGTGTGTGTGTGTGTGTGTGTATGTGTTTGTGCACACCCGCACATGCGCGCGTACGTATGTGTGTGCCCATCCTAGGGCCTGAACTCAGAGTCTGGGTGTTGTCCCTGAGCTTTTTGGCTTAAAACTAGTGCTCTACCAATTGAGCCAGTGATACTCCCCCCATAGATACAATTTGACTCTTCTTTTTAATTAGCAATTTGAGATTTAGAAGGTTCAGAGATTATGAAGGAGCTTATTCTCAAGATGACATACAATTTTTATAGTGTTAGTTACTCAAAGTATGTGAAAAACTCAGTCCAATAGTATTATTTTTGTTCATGTAATTGAAATAGAAATACCTATTACATGGTATTTTTTAAAAGTTTTGTCTAACAAATTTTAATTATATTTTCTAATACTTCCAGAAGGGGGCAGCAAGGGAAATATATTATTGAGCTTCAAAATTAAACAAATACATATATTAATAACAGTTTTTAAAATTGTCTTTAATTATACAAAGGGGTTTTAATTTAATATGTCAGTTTATGAATACAATGCATTTTGATTAATGTCACTCTATCATTCTCTCCCATATGTCCCAATCAATAATATAGTTTTTAAAGTTTAGTGTGTGTGTGTGTGTGTGTGTGTGTGTGTGTGTGTGTGTGTGTGTGTGTGTGTATGCTGGTTCTGGGTCTTGGGTGCTATCCTCAAGCTTTCTTGCTTAAGGCTAGCACTCTAATACTTGAACTATACCTCTACTTCTGGCTTTTTTGGTGGAGATAAGAGTCTCACAGATTTTCATTCCTGGGCTGGTTTCAAACCATGATCCTCAGATCTCAGCTAAGGTTATGGGCCTGAGCCACTGGTACCTAGTTCATAGTCTTTTATGATTACACAAACTATAAGACTATTGAAGTTAGTACATTTAGCTTCATTCTGATTAGTAATTTGATTTTTGTCTTTATAAGTGACTACTAAGATAGGGTAGAAAGAAAAGTTAACAGATTTTTCAGTAAATATTGATTGAATGCATTAATATACTCACATCATTAGGGATTTTGAATTTTAAAATTAGAACCAAAGTCCTGAAGGTATATCTCAGTATATTTCTTGCTTAATGTGCAAGAAACCCTGAATTTGATCCTTACCAACACACACACACACACACACACACACACTCACACACACACACACACACAAGATGAATGTGTACCAGTGTGAAAGGGAGAGAGTTTACTGAGCCATTTGAACCAAGTCTAAGGTAGCCCTCCCTCCCTGCCTTCTTCCCTTCTTCCCTCCCATCCTCCCTCCTTCCCTTTCTTCCTTCCTTCCAGCCATTTTTTTTTTTTTGTATTGGTATATAGAACCTTGTACTCTCACTTGGCTTTTGGGCTCAAGGTTGGTACTCTACTATTGAGCCCTACATCTACTTCCAGCTTTTTTTGCTGGTTAATTGAAGATAAGAGTCCACAGACCTTTCTGCCTAGACAATAGCTTTGTATGTCTTTTACAGATACCAGTGTTCTAAGTGGCTAGGATTTCAGGCATGAGCCACCAGCACTTGGCTTAAAGTAGCACTTTTTGAAGTTAGTACCAAAGCATCTTTGAGAGTGTGGATAGGTTACAAGGGTAGGTTTCACTGTGAAAGGGAATTTGTGCACAGCATTTACAAGTTAATCAAAGAAAGAGGACTCTGTTAGAGGAACTTTGTAAGCAAAATCATGAAGATGGGAAGCATCCTACCATCTTTAGAGTTAGCTTTTCATCAGTGTAATATATAGCTGATATAATACATTATTACTAGATAACATGAGAAAAGGTTTATTTTAGCTCAGTGTTTTAGAGATTGATGATCATTTTGCCCCATGGCACTGGGCCTGTGGCAGCACACCGCAGGAGAGAGTGGTGGAGCAAAACTTGCTTACCTCATGATGTGAAGTAAAAGAGAGGAACCAGGTGTGGATCCCACTCTCTCTGTTAACAGTGTGTTCCTAGTGACCTGAAGACCACTCCGTGGGCCCCACCTTTGCAAAGTGCTAGAGTGGGAACCAGTTAAGTGCCAAGTGGTTACATTCCAAATTCACACCATGGCACAAAGTTTATGTTTCTGGTATGTAAATTGAGGCAAGTTTGAGGGAAAGGACTCTCTAAGCTGGAATAAAGACTGTGAGTATTGTCTTGTAGGTTCTGGGCATTTTAGGAGGAGACATAATTCTATTTGTGTGGTAGTATGGTGAATAGGCTGTTAGGAGTTGAGGTTAAAGAGTGGGTAGAAAGGCTAAAAATGAAGAAAGGACCACTTTAGGGAGAGCAGTCAGTAACTCAGGAAGGGTTTATTGAAGACTGGAAAAGAATAGCTAGTTATTTAAGAATGTGAAGTAGGATTTGATGATTGATTAGCTAAGCACACATTAGCTTGGTTATATTTTATTATATATTTTATATTTGGCTTTTTGAGTAGATGAGAATAACACATATTTGTAATGCTTACAGTGTTACTAGGAAAGAAAATGATAGGGATTTGTGATATTTGAATGTATGGTGATCCGTTGTAACAGTGCTTAATTTAAAAAATCCAAGAATTTTAAATTGCTTTCTTTTTTTTACTTTTTATTGTTTTCTTTTGTTGTTGTTGTTTTCCAGTGCTGGGATTGAAGCCCAGAGTTTTGTGTATTCTAGACAAGTTCTTTTGGATGTTAATTTTGTCTAGTGAGCTTATCAGAGCTGAAATTTTAGCAGAAAAAAGTTAAGCAGACAAGAAAAACATTGCTCAAGCTACTAGGATGGAGAGAAACTAGTACTAAATTTGAACTGAACTTTTCTGTGACAAAGGCAGAAGGGATTTAAGGGCTGGGATAAGCTAATGGAGCAGTACTAGGTACTCAGGGTGATTAATGGATGAATGCTTTGTGCATACTGAGTTATTACTGACTTTGCTAATAGTTTTCTCTTTTTAGGCAATCTGTATTTACTAATTCATTGTGCCCGAAAGTTAGGCTCAGACTAAGAGCCTCAGGGTACTCTTTCCTGAGGGTCTGGTCCCAGGTTCTCAGGACATTCCTGAGATGTAAAACTGGCCATCAGGCTTCTATAAAAAAATTTAGATATATCTCAAAAGGGCAGAGTTATAAGAACAGTTTTTCCAAAGAAAATATGCAAAGGAAAAAGGAAGCTAACAATCTAGGTAAGATGTAGCCTGTAAAGCTTAGGCTGAGGTTAAAGTTGTTTTAGTCCTGTTTCTTGAGTCAGTGTTTAAATAATGTGACTTCCTTGTGTTTATGTTTCTATCTGTAAAATTAGGATAAAATTTTAGGAATTAAAGGACATCCATATGAGAACACATGGGAGAGAAAAATCACTCAGATCATGAGTGTGGAGCAAAAAGAAAATTAAGGACAAGCATTCTGTGGACGACTGATCTTTTTATCTATGGCCTTTCACAAAACTACATGTGCTGTGACACCCAGTTTAATTATTGATATGAGTTCTCTACTAAATTTTTTGTTGTGTAGGTGACCTTGAGCCACTCTTCCCAATCTCTGTCTCCTAGCTGAGATTACAGGTGTGAGCTTTGAAGCCCAGTCTTGAAGTATTTGTTTTTTTTTTTTTTAATAAACTAAGATTGTAAATGTTTAGAGCTTCCTCATCTATTAAAAAAAAAAACAAGGGCTGGCTCAGTGGTAGAGCGTTGCCTTGCATGCATGAGGCCCTGGGTTTGATTCCTCAGCACCACATAAGCAAAAAAGGAAAAAGCCTGAAGTGACTCTGTGGCTCAAGTGGTAGAGCGCTAGCCTTGAGCTGAAGAGCTGAGGGACAGCACCCAGGCCCAGAGTTCAGGCCCCACAACCGGACTCCCCAAAAAACAAAGCAAAACAAAACAAAAACTCAAGAGTTTTCGTGGACTTGACTAAAGTCCTAGCTATTTATTAGGAGAGAAAAATGGCTTGAGCTTTGTACTAATTCTGGTTTTTATTCTAGCTATGTACTTTTTACTGCTTATAAGACTGTCTTGGCCAAGTTAATTGAGCTCTGTCAATTTGTTTTCTTATTTATATATAATGGGGAATAATACACCCACGTCCTATACTTAATATTCTGGCAGTGTTTCAGTTATTATCTTTCATTGAGAAGTTAAGAGTAGGAATTGTTTAAAAGAAATTCACCAACAGTCTCAATCTTTAAAAACTTTTTCAAGCAGCTTTGGATATGTCTAAAAAGATAATCTAGAAAAGCAAGGATATAGGAGTTCATTTTAGCATAGGAGTTATGCTCCAGTAAGATAAGTAGGGTTTGAAGATACAATGTTGTTTTAAAAGTATTGTTTTCTTGGGGCTGGGGGTTTAGCCCAGCGGAAGGGCTCCTGCCTGGCGCGCCCAAGGCCCTGGGTTCCGTCCACAGCCCTGGGGAAAAAAAAAGTATTGTTTTCTTGGGGTTGGGATTGTGGTTCAGTGGTAGAGTACTTGCCTTGTGTGCATGAGGCCCTGGGTTCGATTCCTCAGCACCACATAAGCAGAAAAAGCTGGAAGAGGTGCTGTGGCTCAAGTGGCAGAGCACTAGCCTTGAGCCGAAGAGCTCAGGGACAGTGCTCAGCCCCAGAGTTCAAGCCCCACGACTGGCAAAAAAAAGTATTGTTTTCTTCAGAGCTGTTTTGAAAGTTTCCTTTGGTGGGTGCTGACAATAAGTGGTGACAAAGAGAGATAGGTTTTAAGGGGAACTTTTCTTCCTTGTCAGTTACAAGGCTTGAACACAGGGCCTGGGTGCTGTCCCTGAGCTTTTGTGCTCAAGGGTCTACCACTTTGAGCCACAGCTGCACTTCTGGTTTTAGGATGTTTAGAGATAAGAATTTCACGGACTGCCTAGGCTGGCTTTAAACCTTGATCCTCATATTTCAGCCTCTTGAGTAGTTAGGATTACAGACGTGAGCTATCAGAGCCTGGCTTAAGGTGAACTTCTAAAGGAAGGAGATAGGTGGTAAGGTGTGGTGATTTCTTTTAACGTATACCAATGCTACTTCCAAAATTAGTGTCTTTTTTAAAGAGTAGAGACCACTGGACTTTATTTTATTACTGTTGTCATTATTTAACATAACCATGGTCATGACTTGGTTTTAACCCATGACACATTCTTTTTTCTCAGTGATCTTTTTTTAAAAAATTAATTATGTGAGGTAGCTAGACATTTGGAGCCAGTATGAATCAATGAATATATACTCAACACTTTTCTTTTTCTTTGCAGTAGTGAGGATTGAGAATATTTTATCAGAAATAAGGTATAAATACAACATTTTAGTATTGTCTTTTAGGTCTTATAAATTGTCTCTGAGGGAGTTCACCCTATGTTTTTCATTTTTGTTTGTTGAAATAAGTATATATTAAAAGAATATTCTAAATATGCACACCAAATACACATTCAAAAAGTATAGGAAAGTAAGCAATGATTGAGCATGAATATTGAAAATGTTTCCATTGATAGAAATGAAATATGATTTATGGTTCATCTAATTCAAGTTAAGAAATTTTCACATTGTATCTCTTCTGCTTATTTTAAGTAAGGTAAGGTTGTTGTACAGCTAATCAGAGTTTTTAGCATACAATGTATATAATGCAGGCATAAATGTTGGTAAGCCTTATCTTATTAGGAATACTTTTAGTAAAGGCATTGTTAGGTTTTTTAAAATATGTACATTTAAAAATTATGTTTTTTTGAACTTGAGAAGATTTTTTTTGAAATAATAATTTCACCCCTTAAATTTTTAGACAGAATATTGGTGAAAGCATTCTTTACCTGTGGGTGGAGAAAATAAGAGATACTCTGATACAAAAATCTCAATTGACAGAACCAGGTAGGTATGAAAAATACTCTTAATGCTCTTTTAACCTATAATAATTAAGTTTTCATGTAGATATTCTAGTGGAAACTTTATATGAAAATCTGTCCTGGTTTATGGATTCATGAATATTTCTCTGGAAAGTTCATTTACTCATGTACTAAATTCTTTCATGTACTCATGCTAAATTCTTTCTATGAGGCTTAGCCTTTTTGTATTTAATGTTATGCTCATAGTAAAATTGTTTTATAGTAAAAGAATTTTGGCCTGAAATCTGTCTCTTTGACTATCTTTAAGTAATTTGAACTTTGTAGTATTCTTCATGAATTACTAATGAAATTTTATTTATTTTTTGTGCTTGCCTTGGGCTTGAACTCAGGACAGGGCTGTGTCCTTGAACTTTTGTGCTCTAGGCCAGTGCTCTACCACTTGGGCCACAGCTCCATTTCCAGCTTTTTGTGATTAATTGGAGATAAGAGTCTCACAGTTTTTCCTGCACAGGCTGCCTCTTGAGTAGGTAGGATTACAGGCATGAGCCACTGGCACCCAGCTGAAATGATACTTTTAAACTGAGATTTAATTCATAGGCCGTAATTATTTATCCTTTAAAAACAATGTACAGGGCTGGGAAGGTGGCTCAGTGGTAGAGCGCTTGCCTTGCATGCCTGAGGCCCTGGGTTCGATTCCTCAGCACCACATAAGCAAAAAGAAAAAAGCCGGAAGTGGTGCCGTGGCTCAAGTGGTAGAGCGCTAGCCTTGAGCTGAAGAGCTGAGGGACAGTGCCCAGGCTCAGAGTTCAGGCCCCACAACCGGACCCAAAACAAAAAAACAAAACAAAAAAAAAAATGTACAATTCAGTTGTTTTTAGTATATTTTTAGTTATTCAGTCATCATCACTATCTGATTGCAGAACACTTGAAAATTAGTATTTTATTATATTATTAATTTCAATGATCTGTTACACTTGTGACATTAAAATTTTTAACTCTTGTATTACTTCACTTCATTAGTCTTTGTTTCACTTACCACAAAGTCCGTTGGAGAGAAAAATATATAATTTATAGTGATGTTATTTGCAAATGGCATTTTATTGTTACTTCTGGTAAAATTAGTTTTAATTTGGGGAAAACAAGATTAAGAAAGAGCCCAGTAGTTTACTTACTGGTTTTCTATTTAAAAGAACAATTTAAGACCCCCTTTGCAATATTTATATATTTTAAAGTGTTTTTCAGAGTATTTTACTGTTTTTTTTTTTTTTTTTTTTGGTCCGGTCGTGGGGCCTGAACTCTGGGTCTGGGCGCTGTCCCTCAGCTCTTCAGCTCAAGGCTAGTGCTCTACCACTGGAGCCACAGCGCCACTTCCGGCTTTTTCTGTTTATGTGGTGCTGAGGAATCAAACCCAGGGCCTCATGCTTGCAAGGCATGCACTCTACCGCTGAGCTACCTTCCCAGCCCCCAATTTTAAGCTTTTATAATTTTTTTTTTCTTAAAAACTTTTTGTTGGGGCTGGGGAAGTGTGGGTTAGTGGTGGAGTGTGGTAGAGTTCTTTCCTTGCATGCACCAAGGCCCTGGGTTTTATCCTGAGCACTATTTAAAAAAAAAAAAGAACAAACTTTTAATAACTGAAGATCTGACAAGGGTGAAAATTATGACCCAGGTATATCACTTGAGAACCATTTCCAGGACATTTACTTATTAAGTAATTTATTTTTATCTTGTTAACTTTTGGTATAAATTTATTCTTTATTCTTTGTATTTTGTAGACTAGAAATTTTGAATTCTGAAATGTTTATAATCAACAATTAATAATTTTAAAAATTTGAGCCAGGTGCCAGTGGCTCATGCCTGTAATCCTAGCTACTCAGGAGGCTGAGATCTGAGGATCACAGTTCAAAGCCAGCCTAGGCAGGAACGTCCGTGACACTCTTATCTCCAATAAACCACCAGAAAAACCAGAAGTAGTGCTGTAGCTCAAGTGGTAGAGCACTAGCTTGGAGCTGAAGAGCTCAGGGACAGTGCCCAGGCCCAGAATTCAAGTCCCATGACCGACAAAACAAAAAATTAAAAAAAATTAATTTTAAACTTAACAGAAAAGTTGCAAATGCTATTAAGAGCTCTTTTATAATCATGCTGATTCCCTATTAACAGCTTATATGAAATGTTATAATTCTCAAGAACAAAAACTAACAGTGGTACAGTACTATTAGGTAAACTACATAGCTTATTCAAATGTCACCATTTTCCCACTAATTTCTCTTTCTGCTACTATAGGACTTTGGATCCAGTATTCTTCATTGCCTTTTTATTTTATTTTTTTACAATCTGTAATCAGGTTTTTGTGTAACTTTCCTTGAGACTTTTAAGAATATTGTTCATTTAGTTATAGAATTACACTTAGTTCTGTTTGTTTTCTTATGGAGTGAGATTAACCATTTTGGGCAAGAATACCCTAAAAATGATATTATATCCTTACAGTAATCTACATCAAGGAGTTCATGATATTAATATGTTTTATTGTTGGTGATGTTTACCTTGATTCTTTGGTTTAAAGTCTTCACTATAAAGTAACTGTTTGGAGTTTCTTTTTTTTTTTTTTTTTACATGTATGTATACAGAGATTTATTTTAAAGAAATAGGCTTGCAGAATTATGGAGACTGGTAAGTCCAACATTTGTCAGGATAGGCCAGCCAGCTGAGGACTCAGAGAAGAATTGATGTTACATTTTGATCCAAAGGAAATTTTCTGGGAAAGGTTATTGTCTGAGGAGTTCATTCTTACTCAATTATTAGGCCGTCAACTGATAGGGTAAGGTTTATTATGGATGACAATCTGCTTTACTCAAAGTCAACTGATTTCAATATTAATCTCATCCAAAGAAAACTTTTATAGGAATATATAGGATAGTGTTCACTAAGTCAACTGATTTGCCAAGCTGACATGTGAAATTAACCACAATAATAGCTAGCTTTCCCTTTGTATCTTATGGGAGATTCCTTTCTTATATTCTTTATTTATTCACTGGAATTCTGCTCTGAGGAAGAGAAATCCTGGATTCTTCTGTTGAAAATGGTGTTTAGAAATCAAGACTCAGCTTTTTTTGAAAGTGTAATTTCCTGTTGGCTTCATGGACCAATCATAATATCACATATCTATATAGGCCCAGATGTAAAGAAGAAAACGGAAGAGGAAGATGTTCAGTGTGAAGATGATCTCATTTTAGCGTGTCAGCCAGAAAATCCAGTTAAAGCATTGGATTTTGATATCACTGAAAATCAACCAGGTATAATATTACCTATTTGTTTCTTTTTGAGAAGAGTGGTATGATGGTATATATTTATTTTTATTTGGCGTGGTATGGAAATTTAATAAACTTTCAGATGTTATGAAGTTTTTAATTTGTGGACAGTTGAGATGTTTATTCCCTGCCTATCGGCCATTTAGTTATTTGCCAATTCTATCAGCATGGTGAAAAAAATAATATTTACTTGTAGAGTTTTGATGGGAGAAACTGATGCTAAGAAAGGCTATTAATGTTTTTAATTTCTATCCTGTTTTTGTATTTCTGTTTTGAAATTTCCAGTTATCTATCTCCTGACTTCTCAGGCATAAGTTATAGTCTGTGCTGACAACATAAGTAAATCAGCATTGAAAGTATAGCTACTGAAATTAAAGTTAGTAGTAGTCCTTGAAGAACTTAATTTTTGAGTAGCATTCAATTTGAAAACAGACTGATGTGATATTTAGCTTTCTATTATATAAGAAAATGTGTCTATTTTAGTATTTAATTTTTAAAGCTTAACTTTTTCTTTTTGAGGCCGAGTTTTACTATGTGGCCCAGGCTGGTTTCAGATTCTCTATACTCTTGACTTAGTCTCTGTGTACTGGGATTACAGATATATGCTACCACCCTGGCTTCTTAAAATTTTTAAGTGTTACTGTGAGTTTTATTGAATCTCTTATGAAAATGTGATTGGCTAAATGGAAGATTCATTTCATTTGAATGTGAGCATTTTCTTATGCCATTACATAGTAGCTTTCAAATAGCATTCTGAAAACTTATGGCTTATTTTTTTAATAAAGAGAGGTTACAGTTACATAAGTCAGGTAAAGAGTACATTCAGCAATGTCACCCCTTCCCTCACTCTCTGCCAGTTTTTCCCACAAGTTCTATAGTTCATTTTCAAGGTAGTGTCCAGTGAGTACCATTACTGCATTTGTCCCTCCATTTCTATTCCTTCTCTTAGACTTCCGAAGAACAAGAAGAAAATGAAAACAGAAAAAAGGAAAAACCTCTTGCTTTTTAATGGCACTGTGGAGCTAGTAAAAGGAGATAAAGGGAAAGTGAAGGAGGGTCTCGGCAGAGGATCTAGGCTCTTATTAGTGTCTTAATCTATGTAGTTCTTTTATTCATTTATATATTTGTGGCTTCCTCATAAGGCTTCTTTTGGGAAACAGGATTTATCATTTTAAGAAACATGCAAATCAATCAATTTCAGTAAACTATATCAATCATAGGTAGCTCATGTTGACCTATATGCATACTGGAATTTGCTTATTGGGACAGTGGTCAAAATCAATTCAGGAAATGATGATAGTTGAGGGAAGGTAGAAAATCCTAAATAAACAGTTATCTTAGGTAAGTTTTTGTCCTAAATGAGGCAGGTATCAGTTGCCAGGATGCTTAAGTTTCTCATTAGGGAAGAGTTTAATTAGTGATTTTTAAACTTCTTAAAGAGGCAGAGTAACTGGGAAATCATACTTTAAAATGGAATATCAGATGAATATGTAATTGATAATGTTTAATTCTATGATGTACAAACAGTTTCATTAGAAGAAAACATTAGCTTGGGGATGTACTCTGTGGAAGAGCACTTTCCCAACACTTGTAATGCTCTGGGTTTGATTCCTAACACAGATCTTCCCCCATTCCCATCCCCAACATTATATTGTACTGTGCAATATAAAGTCATAGGTTTCCCAACCGAAAGTATAATGGAAGAAATGAATTATGGTGTATTAACAGCCATCAGTCTTTGGTCTTAGGACCCCTTAACACTTAGAAATTAGATATTGTACCAGCTTAAATTACTACATCAATCTATGTTTGAGTGCCAAGTCTGTCATTTCTACTGAGTGATGCTGGAAGATGAAAATCATTTTTAAAGCTTTTTTTATGTTCACATGAAACACATTTAGAAGCATTTTACTTTAAATTTAATTTTGATAGGCAACTACTCATATCTGTTTTCATTTAGATTTGTCATATAATTTATATTTATTTCTCTGTTTCCTTCCCTATTGTCAGTTTTTTAACATCTGAATGTCTATTTTAAAGTAAATTAATTCTTTAAATTTATAGAAATAGAAGAATTACCTCCAATTGATCATGGAGTTCCTATTACAGACCGAAGAAGTACCTTTCAGGCACACTTGGCTCCAGTAGTTTGTACTAAACAGGTAAAGTTACTATGTCTGGTTCAGTCCAGTGATGTTTTACTAAAATAAGTAAATGATTTTTGCAACATACCTTTATTTTTTACTCTTACATTTAATTTTCACATAAGATAAAAATTATTTGCTCATTTTTTTCTGTTCTCAAATTAACTGGGAATCATGGAAGACTTTTTGTTTCTTCTTGCTTTCAAAATTGTATTTAATGCAAGGTCCTGAGATCAAATTCTACCACCACCAAAAAAAATGTATTTAATCTATGATTGGGACTAAGTGTAAATAATTTTTAAAGAAATACTTGTGGAGCACTTACGGAAAATTGTGATACTAGCTAGTTAAAAGGAATTGTCCCTAAGTTCTATGAAACTAAACAAGAGCACAGTGGACAGACATGCTAACTGGGCCTACCTGAATTCCTTTCCTTTCTGCTTCCTACCAAATGATATAAACTGGAGACTGTTTCATTAAAGCTGTAATTCCTAGGCCATTGTCTTTCTCATTCAGGCTCTTTTCAGTAGAATCCTAGTCTTCTTCACCATTTCTAAGAACTAGCCTAGGTTAAACTATCTTGAAAAAAGTAGTTCCAGTTCTTGGTATAAAGCTAAATAATTTAAATGTCTCATTTACCTGTTTTTAAAAATTAATATCGGTCTGGGAAGGTGGCTCAGTGGTAGAGCACTTGCCTTGCATGCATGAGGCCCTGGGTTTGATTCCTCAGCACCACATAAGCAGAAAAAAAAAAGCCGGAAGTAGTGCTATGGCTCAAGTGGTAGCACGCTAGCCTTGAGCTGAAGAGCTGAGGGACAGTGCCCAGGCCCAGAGTTCAGGCCCCATGACCGCCCCCCCCCCAAAAAAAAAAATTAATATCTTTCTTTTAGTTTCTGCCGCTACTCTCTAAACTCTTCCCTGCTGGCTCCTTCCCCCACTTACAATGTTGCATATCAAGTCTAGGAAATTTAGACAAGTCCTGTACCACAGAACTACATTCTAGTCTTCTACACTCTTTTAAAGCCCTGACCTTTAGGAATCCAGTTCTTTGAAATAGGATTTTTATTCTCTTCCAGCCTCTAGAGAGGCTGTTTTCAAAATAGACTTATAGTCAGAATCACAACTTACAGAACAGCCTTCTGATCTTTTCTCTCTGGAATCCCATTTTTATCCTTGGCCTCAGCTCATAATCTTGCCAGCAGGGTCCTTCTTAGGCATTCTATCCTGAATCTACTCATCTTTCATCTTTTTTCTGGTTTTGGTTATAGTTACATAGATTATATGAGAGTTCAAACAAATCTTAGATATCTTTCTCTGTTGTACTGAAATCTGAGAACTTGAAATTGTAAAATATGATACCAGTTCAGTTTTCCCTACATCTAGTATTTCTTCTATATTTCTTTCCTGAAAATCTGACCACATTTCATTTTCTTCTCTCCCTCATCTACCTTCAGACATAATCTTTGGTGACTTTCATTGTCTACAAGGAATAAACTAAATGCTTACCCAAAGTTCTTTGTGATATGATCCTAGCCCATTTTATGTGGTACATCTTCTACCATCTCTTAGACTCTTAAGTTACTACATATAATTTCCTCAACCTTTCTCTTTTATGTTCTTCTCTATTTGTAGAATACAAGATAGCTAGTTTTTGGATTTCAGATAAGCATTATTCATGGGACATATTTATACCTATTTATTTTATTTTAATGCTGGTCCTGGACTTTGAATTCAGGGCCTGGGTGCTGTCCCTGAGCTTTTTACTTAAAGCTAGCGCTCTACCACTTGTGCCATAGCTCCACTTCCAGCTTTTTGGTGGTTAATGGGAAATAAGAGCCTCATGGAATTTCCTGCCCAGGCTGGCTTTGAACTGCAGTCCTCAATTCTCATCCTCCTGAGTAGTTAACATTACAGGTATGAGCCACTGGCACCCAATCCTAATTTCTATTTAATTAATATTTATATCGATACACCTTTGTAATTTACTGGACATTCAGATTTGACTAGATATTCTTTATTTTTATTTGCTAAAGCTAATCACCTAAGTCTATGCATTTACACAGGCTATTGTCTCTGACTCTGTTACTTATTTTATAAGGCCTAGCTCATGTGACCTCTTTTGTGAACCTTACTTGATTCTCAAGTTTTGCTTTTATAACACTTGGAGTGTACCATTACTGCATGCCTACCACACTGAATATATACATTTGGCACATGTTAGAGCTAACATTTAGTATTCCTATAGTTTCATTTAAGATTCTCTATATAAGCTAGGTGTTGGTGGCTCATGCCTGTAATCCTAGCTACTCAGGAGGCTGAGATCTGAGGATCACAGTTCAGAGCCAGTCTAGCCAGGAAAGTCTGTGAGACTCTTATCTCCAATAAACCACTCAGAAAACCGGAAGTGGCACTGTGGCTCAAGAACACTTGCCTTGAGCTAAAGAACTGAGGGATAGCACCTAGGCCCAGAGTTCAAGCCCCATGACTGACCAAAAAAAAAAAAAAGATTATATAAGGAAAAATTTAGATATATTTATGTCCTAAACATCTATTGATAATTAGTGCTTAGAAATACCAGATCTTTAGCCAGGTGCAGTTGCTCAAGCTTGGTCATAAAATGAGATATCTTGGAAAAAAAACCAACATAAAAAGGGGCCACGGGTGTGGCTCAAGTGGTCGAGTGCCTGTTTGCAAGTGCAAGGCCCCTAAGTTCAAACTCCAATACCACCATCACACACATACATACATTTACAACAGCCAAAAATCCAAGTTTGTTATTTTTAAACCAGTGGGGAGTGCTTAGTTCCTGCCCTTAAAACCAGGAGGAAACTAGAAATAAGCTTTTTCAGAGCCAGAGAGTTTCCTGTGTATGAGCTGCTACTGGGGCTTGAATTCAGGTCTTTTTGATGGGTTTTTGGAGATAAGAGTCTTACAGACTTTTCTCCTTGAGCTGATGTTGAACCCCAGTCCTCAGATCTCACTCTCCTTAAGTAGCTAGAATTATAAGAACCACCAACACTGAGCTATATCTTCTAATTCAACACTTTTTATCATTGTCCTTTAAAATATTTTTCAAGAATTCATTTGCAGAGCAAATAAAAAGCAAGCATTGTTTATATTACTGCTGTTTTTAAGGTGAAAATGGTTCTTGCCAAATTGTATGAGAATAAGAAGGTAGCCAGTGCCACTCACAACATCTATGCCTATAGGTAAGTGATTATCACAATTTTTGGAATATGCAGTTAATAAATGGTGATTAGGAAATTATGGATGATTAGGAAATTTACTAACATGTGTTTTTTTCCATTGTAATAGGAGTAGATGTGTAGAATATTTGGAAATTGTAAAATAGAAAAGTAATTGGAAAGAAAATAAAGTATCTTCTGTTAAATATAACTAATATTTTTATGTACTTTCTGTCTTTTCTATGCTGTTTATTTTTCTCTATGTCCTAAGTTTTTGCAATTTAATGAGTGTTTTCCCTCAGCCACCTGATATGGCTGTATATTTGTTTGAGGTTCCATACCACAACTTATTTAAGCATTTCCTTTTTGTTTTAGTGTCTCTCTCTCTCTCTTGAGGTTTGAACTCAGGGCCTGAGTGCTGTCCTTGAACCTTTCTGCCACTTGAGCCACAGCTCTACTTCTGGCTTTTTGGTGAATAATTGGAGATCATGAACTTTTTCTGCCTGAATTATTTTGAACTACTCAGCCTCCTGAGTAGTTAGCTACAGGTGTGAGCCACTGGTACTCAGAGAGTCTTTCATATTTTCCATTATTACACAGAATACTCTAGTGAATCTGGGTGTAGGAGGAGTTGGTGCTTTGTAATTCCAGCTACTGGAGAGGTTAAGGCAAGAGAATTGTGAGTTCAAAGCCAGCCCATGTAAAGTAAGAAAGACTCTACCAAAAGCAAAAATACAACTGGTTAAAGCCTTGTAATGCTAGCTTCTTAGGAAGCTGAGATCTAAGAACTGCGATATGAAGTCAATATAGGCAGACATATCGGTGAGACCCAGCAAAAAGTAAACGTGTGGCTCAAGTGGTAGAGTGCTGTGAGCATAAAAGCTGAGCCAGAGCATACATAAAGTCCTTAGTTGGGCCTCAATAATGGCACTAAAACTAAACAAGCAAAAAAACCCCCAACAAACCAGAAATGGAGGGACAAAGGGTAAACAAATGCAGCAGTAGTGCTCACTGGACACTATATTGAAAATGAGCTATACAAATGATGGGTGGGATGGGAGAGGAAAACTGGGAGAAAGCCAGAGAAGGGGTGACATTGTCCAAAAGAAATGTATTCTTTGCCTTACTTATATAATTGTAAGCCAACTCTGTTTATTGCAGCATTATTCACTATAGCTAAGATATGGAACCAACCCAGATGTCCCTCAGTAGATGAATGATTAAGAATGATATATACACACACACATATATATGTACACACACACACACACACACACACACACACACACACACACACACACGAATTCTATGCCTCCATCAGAAAGAATGACACTGCCCCATTTGTTAGGAAATGGGAAGACTTGGAAAAAATTATATTAACTGAAGTAAGCCAAGCCCAAAGAAACATAGGTTCCATGGGTTCTCTCTCTCTTTTTTTTTTTGTCAGTTGTGGGGCTTGAACTCTGGGCTTGAGCACTGTCCCTCAGCTCTTCAGGTCAAGGTGAGTGCTCTATGGCTTGAGCCATAGCACCACTTCTGGTTTTCTAGTGGTTTATTGGAGATAAAGAGTTTCATGGACTTTCCTTGCCCAGGCTGGCTTTGAGCCATGCTTCTCAGATCTCAGCCTCCTGAGTAGCTGGGATTACAGGCGTGAGCCACCCGCGCCCGGCTCTATGGTTTCTCTTATCTGCAATAACTAGTATATGTCTAGGACAAGCACAAAGGTCAAAAATAATTTTTTAAAAAAGAAACAGAAGTACGAACAAAGGACGATGGGCCTGGCTCAGGTGGTAGGTGTTGCCTAGCCTATATAAGGCCATGAATTCAATCCCCAATACCTAAAAAAAGGGAAAAGGAAAAAAAAGAATAGTCCAGTTAATATCCTTGAATAGTTTTTAGATTATTTCTGCCAAAGAGATTCTGGTTGCTTCAGTTTCTTTGTTGAAATGAAGCAAGTATAGTTAAAAGGAAGACAGAATAAATTCTTAGAGTAGCATTATAAAAAAGAGGGAACATTTTTGAAGCTCTTTATAAATACTGCCAAATTTTTCCAAAGTTGGTGGGTTTTTTGTTGTTGTTGTTGTTGCTGTTGTTGGTAGTGGGCCTGGGTACTGTCCCTGGGCTCTTGAACTCAAGGCGAGTGCTCTACCACTTGAGCCACAGTGCCACTTGTTCTTTAACCCAGCGAGACCTGAAAATGCGATGCCTGGGCAGAGTGTGGACTCCACCTTTGCAGAGTATAGACAAAGTTTATTGAAACGTCACATGCTTATATATAGCATACAGACATAGAAAGTAAATTTTCAGTCAGGGGCAGAAAGTTTATCTTAAACAATTTTATGGGACTACAGACAATGAGAATTAACCTTCAGTCAGTGTGCAGGAAGAGTCAACAAATGTGAAGCAGTTCTATGTTACCAAAGATTACAAAGAATATGCAGTGCAGGTGGGCTTCCTTAGACACACAAAGAGAGTCTTGAGGCATTTTTCTATGGGATTATTTGGAGCAAGAAGGGCACTTTCCACATACCTTCCACTGAGGTCATGGCCGGGGCATTGGGACTGTTGCCCAGACTTGGAAAGAGCTTTCTTCTTGCCCATAAGGCTGCAGCTGGGTGTCCCGACCATTGCCAGGATTATGGAGGAGTGTTCTTGTTGGCCAGCATACATAAACTTCACACAGCACACAAATCATCAGGCAGGGTCACACAAGTCTGTGTCTCTGACCACCACTTCTGGTTTTCTGGTAGTTAATTGGAGATAAGAGTCTCAGGGACCTTCCTGCCTGGGCTGGCTTTGATCCTCAGATCTCAGCCTCCTGAGTAGGTAGGATGACAGGCATGAGCCACCAGCACCCAGCTTGTTTGTTTGTTTGTTTGTTTTAAATGAAATTTAATTTATATGTGCTGAGCATGTTCCCACATGCTTATAATTCCAACTACTCTCCAGGTAGAGATCAGAGGAATTGCTGTTCAAGACAAAGCTAGCCAAGAAGTTAGTGACCACATATCACAAACAAGCTGAGCATACTAGATAGATCAACTTGTAGTCCCAGCTACCTTTGTCACAGATAGGAGGATACTAAGCTGACCCTAGGGAAAACCACTAGACTCTATCTGAAGAATAGATAAGGCAGAAAAGGCCTAGGAGCATGGCTAAAGTGGTAAAATGCCTGACAGGGATGAGGCCGTGAGTTCAAATGAAGTACTGCCAAAAAATAGAAACAAAAACCGAAACAAAAAAATTTAAGAATTGAGAATGCTTCTTTTCTTACACCTGTCTAGTGTTGAGTACTAAGATTTTTATACAGATCTTTGATGATTTGTAAATGAAAATACGAAGGACAATTTTTTTGTACTTTTTTATTGTAAAAATGCTGTACAGAGGAGTTACAGTTACATCAACAAAGTAATGAGTACATTTCCTATTGAGCATTGTTACCTCCTTCTTTGTTTCCCCCCCTACCATCCCTTCCCTCCCACCTCCACCCCCTACCCCCCGCCATGCCCTCCGGGCTGAAGTTATGAAGTTCGTTTTCAACATAGTGTTTTGTACATTTCATTGTTACAGTGGATCAACCTGTAACCTTATTTAAGAATTTTGCTTTTTCCTTTCAAAAACATGGAACGCTTCACGAATTTGCGTGTCATCCTTGCTCAGGGGCCATGCTAATCTTCTCTGTATTGTTCCAATTTTAGTATATGTGCTGCCAAAGGGAGCACAGGACACTTTTTTAAATACATAAAATAATAAGATTTAAGGACCTAATTGAGGCCTAAAATAAAACAATACAGATACAAGGATTTGGTACAAATTAAAATTCACTTGAAACTATTTATATAATCGAGACTATGTTAAATTCAAATTCACAAACGTCTATCAGTTTATATAGGAGGGTTTTTAGTGAGTTCACCTCTCTTCAACCACCAAATAAAAAGAACTATTATTAATTCTCTTCTGACCATTGTCACTGAAGAGGGTCATTAATATGAAAATGAGGGATTTGGCTATGATGTCAATGATGAAATGTGTAGTAAAAATAGTAATAGTTATCCTTCTTTGATGCCACATGTTAATTGAGTGCTTACTTTGTGTCAGCAGTTTTAATAATCAGTTTAATTTTGATTATTTCAGCAATCTTGCCTTGTAAAAAGATTAACATTTTCAAAACCTCCTAATTATTAAATGACAGACCTGATTTGATAACCAAAATTTATTTATCTCTTCATTTTTTCCTAATTGGCTATTTGGCTTCAAAATCCAATATATGGATCTTGTCTGTGATGTTAATCTTAAGTTCGTAAAAAGAAAAGCTCAACAGTGTGCCAATTATCTGTTTCAGGTCCCAGAGCTTTGGGTTTTAATAGAAGTCTTCTGAGTGTTTTTATAGTCCTTACTGTTTTCTTCCATATTAATAAGTTGCTTCTTATATCTATTTGTCAACATGACTTCAAGCAACAGCTTCTCTCCCCATCTTCCTTAGTAATGGATGCTTGGCTGTGGAGGGACCCAGCTTGTCAGAATTATGTATCAGATAAGACTAAACACAAAGTGCAGGCTCAAGGGACCTGATTGGGGGTAAAGTCAAGGAACTTTATTTGGTACATAGACTTTCAATTGTATATTTTGAATGATTAGGGTCCTTTTAAACTTACAGCTTGATACTGGGCTGTGTTCTTGCTTTGGAGTTAACAAGGTGCTCTTCAGGCCATTGGATGCTACATCATCATCTTCCTGGCATGTGAGGAATGGATTAGTGAAAATTTCCATGGGTTCATGCTTTTTCTTAACAATACTGACTGACAGTCAAATTTTCTGCATTTGTTCCATAAAATTATTTTATTAGGTTATAATTATAAATCTTATCTAAACCAATTCCTGACCCTTTTAGCCTTAAGTTTGTTATATTAATCTTTATTTAATAATACTAATGTATTTTCCTTTAAGTCAACTCTGAATAATTATAATGTCCTCAGAGTAAATGTGAGTTGTTATTTATTGAATAGAAAAGTGATGGTGGATGGATAAACAGAATGAGCAAATTAATGAATGAGTGCTATAATAACGTTGATGTAATTGACTTAAGCATGTAGATGAGTATTTATAGATTTTTAGGTTTACATGAAAAGTTTATAGTTTTTAATGGCTTTAGTTGAGAGGATATCTTTACCACAGATGCCCACCTACATGTGATGTCATTGTAGAGGCCTAACAAACTCACTCTATGTAGTAATGTAAGTGGTGCCACATATGGATTGGTTTTTTTTTAATCTCTAAGGACTTAATTGCCAAGCTTATTCTACTACAATGTTTTCTTCCATTATTTTGAATTTAAATGGGTAAAAACCCCATGCTTTATTTCTAATACTGATAACACTTTGGGAGACATTTTAAAGAAGAAAGATAAATCTTTTAATTCTTATTAAGAATGTAGGAAATAAATGCTTGATGGTTGGAATAAAATGAAAAGAAAGGCGTGAAATGTTAATATGCTGTCCCTCCTCTTCATGTGCTTCTTCCCATAGGCTCTTTTAAGACAGGACTATGCCATGTATTTCATTTACATGAATTTCATTTCATTTACATGTATTTTTTTTTTTTTTTTTGTCGGTTGTGGGGCTTGAACTCTGGGCTTGGGCACTATCCCTCAGCTCTTCAGCTCAAGGCGAGCACTCTACTACTTGAGCCACAGCACCACTCCCGGTTTTCTAGTGGCTTATTGGAGATAAGAGTCTCTCAGACTTTCCTGCTAGGGCTGGCTTTGAACCATGATCCTCATATCTCAGCCTCCTGAGTAGCTAGAATTACAGGCGTGAGCCACCGGTGCCCAGCTACATGTATTTCATTTTATCATACCTCTATTTTATAGTGTTTCTGTATGTATAGTCTCAATAGCTGTTTTTCAATGACTTTATTACATCATATCTTTAAGATTCCGTTTTCCGTTAAAGCAACATTTCTGATATAAAGCTTATTCCTAGCTTTCCCAGGTATAAAAAATGGTAAAATGAACTGGATAGTAAATCATCCATAAAATATATCTCATGTTGAATTCAGAAGGATTTTTAAAAACAAATGTGTTGATTTGCAAAACAAATTAATTGCAATAAGTATTGAGTGATGACTTTCATTGTACTCCTTTGAAGTTTCAAAGTATAACCCTGTTATACTTATTTCTAGAATATATTGTGAAGATAAGCAGACCTTTTTGCAAGACTGTGAGGATGATGGGGAAACAGCGGCTGGTGGACGTCTTCTTCATCTCATGGAGGTAGGTGTAACTTAAAATCTAAATCCTATTCTATATGAGCCATAACATTTCTCAGCAAAACAGAGCTCCATTTAAATTAGTAAGTTACATGTTATAAGTACATTTGGTTTAATAGTAAAATTTTAAAAATTGTGTGGAAATTTAACCACTGGATATAAGCAGAAAGCAAATGGCTAGTAATAAGTTCTGTGTTTTAAAGACAATTGAACATTGTCTTCTACTTTGGGTAAACTTCTCTTTAGTTTTTTTTTTTCTTTTCTTCTATCTTTATGGAAATTCTGTTAGTTGGATATTAGATTTCTGGAAAGATCCAGAATCAATCCTTTCTCCCTACTTTTCTTCCCTTTTCTCCTTTCTCTTCTCCTTTTTCTTCCCCTCCCTTTATCTCCTTATTTTCCTCCCTTCCTACCTCCCATCTTCTTTCCTCACTCTTTTTCTTCCTTTCTTGTTCAACTCATTGTCTTTACGTTATCAGGCATTCCTTGTCTTCCAAAATTGTTGAATTTTTAATTTTTTTTTGCAACCATATATTTGATTTTTTTTCTTTTTTTGCTAAGTATATAATTTTTAAGAGTTCATTATTAATTTTTCATAGAATTTTATTCTGAGTTTATGAATATGCATTTTCTAAAATTCCTTTGCATATATTAATTAGGATTTCTTTATTCAGATGTCTTCACCATTAAATTTTTCTTGGTCCATTTTAGTTTATTTATCTTATCCTTTCTCTTTCATGCTGCTGGATTTTCTTCATCTGTCTGGTGATCATTGGTTGTCCATTAATTTTAAGAATGGATTATTTTTTTCCCAAGGTAGTTACTGTATTATATGTGGAGCTTTGTTTTTCTAAACTGGGCCTTTCCCTTGACTAGGAACACTAGTTCCTAGGAACTCTAGGTGTGGGTCAGGCCTGTGTACTGGTGAGTTTCACTTTAAGGGCAACATTTAACAAATATTGAACTAATGAAGACCTTACTGATCAGCTCCAGTGACTACTTTGTTTTTGTTTTTGTTGTTTAGTCCAGTGATAAAAAGTCCCTACACTGAGCTATTCTGGTAGAAGTCCCCAAACACTACCTGCATGGTCTTCTTCACTCTACCAGATTGCCCCAAAGTTTGGATTTGAGGATACTGGTTTTTCAAATGGCTTTCTATTCTAATATTTCACCCCTGAATTACTAGTAACTTACTCAATGAATTACTCATCTGTTCTGCCATTAGAGTCAGTGGGAAATTTTATGTGCAATTTTTAATGTGGGTTATTTAATTCTTATTTAAAACTTGTGTTTGTATATGTCTAGCTGTATGTCTAATCGTGCTTCTAAATATAACAGATTTTGAATGTGAAAAATGTCATGGTGGTAGTATCACGCTGGTATGGAGGAATTCTGCTAGGACCAGATCGTTTTAAACATATCAACAACTGTGCCAGAAATATACTAGTGGAGAAGAATTATACAAGTTCACCTGTAAGTGGCTATTGATCTAAAGAGTTTCTTATCACTGTCTGTGAAAATAAGGAGTGAGACCCTGGTCAGAACAACGAGACTGGATAGTCATATATATGGCCTTGGGCAGATCACTTTATCTCTTGAACCTTAATTTCATAGATTCATAGATTTCATATTATAAAGAACTTTTGAAGACAGCTCATTCTTTCTCTTGCCCCTCAAACCGAGCCCCATAGAAATTGTAGCTCATGTTACACTAGACTGGATTTCATTTGTGTGTGTGTGTGTGTGTGTGTGTGTGTGTGTGTGTGTGTGTGTGTGTGTGTGTGCGTGTGTGCGTGTGTGTGTGTGTGCGTGTGTGTGTGTGCGCGTGCGCGTGTGCGTGCGTGCACGCGTGTGCTGAAACTGAGGTTTGAACTTAGATCCTCTGCGTTGTCCCTGTATATGTGTGTGTGTGTGTATGTATGTGTGTGTGTGTGTATGTGTATGTGAGTGCGCCAAAACTGAGGCTTGAACTTAGATCCTCTGCCTTGTCCCTGAGTTTTTTTGCTTAAGGCTAGTTCTACCAGGACACACAGCTCTAACTTCCAGCTTTTTGGTGGTTAATTGGAGAACAGAAATCTGGAGTTATCTGACCAAGCTGGCTTTTAACCATGGACTAGATTTTTTTTTTTAATATGTGTGTGTGTGTGTGTGTGTGTGTGTGTGTGTGTGTGTGTTTTGTATGTCCTGGGGCTTGAACTCAGGGCCTAAGTGCTGTCCTTGAGCTTTTGTACTCAAGGCTAGCACTCTACCACTTGAGCCATATTTCTACTTCTGTCTTTTTTGGTGGTGAATTGGAAAGAAGAGTCTCATGGACTTCAGTGCCCAGGCTGGCTTTGAACTGTGATCCTCAGACCTTAGCCTTCTGAGTAGCTAGGATTACAGGCATGAGCCACCAGTGCAGAGCTTATAACTAGATGTTTTTAAGCAGCTGTACAATACTAAACTTGTCGTTAATGTCAAGGCATCCCTCTCCCTTTGGCATGCTGTCAGTATACTTTGAGCTTTTCTTTTGGTATACTTTGAGCTCATTTTTGCTTACTGTATCCATTTAAACTTTATTACCTTACTTAAGAAACTAGAAATATATTAAATAATGAGATTATTAAAGTATAAAATATAAGCAAAGTATTTTTTCTTAATTATTCTTGATTGTCTTATTGTAATAGACTATAAATGAAAGTGCCCTATAAGACACAAATAATTATACCCTCACCTGTTTGTAGAGACTATGTGATCAGATATCAGGTTCCATCTGTTTGTAAACAGAGAGGTATCACATTGGTTTTTTTCTTTTTCAGGAAGAATCATCTAAGAGTTTGGGCAAGAACAAAAAAGTAAAAAAAGACAAGAAGCGGAGTGAACATTAATACTTGAAACTATATGAAAGGTTAATTTTTCTATAATTACAAACATATTCTACAGTCATCAAGGAATATATGACCCTGGCTGCTCAAGTCAGCCAATTCATCATGGACACCAGCATTATCTTCTTTAGTTTTATCATCTGCCAAAAATACAGAATTTAGAATATATTCATGTGTGTTTTAGGCTTTTTGGGAAGAACTAGTTTGTGCTTAACCATTAATTTATCTAGTTTTAGGAAAGTGACAGTTGCCCAGGCTAGTGTCTGAATTACTGCTTCACTTAAGTACATGTCAAGTGCCTTTGTTAGGTGGGGAAGAAGTGTCTCCAGAGGACTATAAATGCCTGATTTCTTGTCATTGGGATTCTTGTACTGTTAAATGAACATTGCCTTTTCTGCTCTTTATGGCTTATTGGAACAGAAGCTCATTGAAGATTGATCTTGGAGAATTTCTTCCTGTGATTTCAGTTCAAAATGTGACATTTTTCATTTTATAGTCTGAGTAATAAGTGAGAATCCAGAAGTATATATCTATAGTTATGTGTTGAGGTGGCAATTTATCAAACTAATTTGTTAGCTTAAGTATTATGCCTCAATTTCTGTCACAAATTTGTGAATGTGAAATTTCAAGAAGTGATTTTGTGGTCTCTGCCTTTTTGTTGTTTAATTCTTGTAATGCAAAACATTGAATATGGAATGCCAGTAGGCTCCTGCCACCTCTGAACTGTGTTCATGTAATATTCTGGTCTAACAACTTGGTGGTATCTTCTGGTCTTTATAAAGGTATTAAAACCATGCTAGGATTTATACTGTGATTAATGGGGCATTTATAGACCTGAGTAAACATGACAGAACTATACTAGTCTGAGGCAAAAACTGCAATAAATTTGGTACATACTTCTCTGTGTTACAGTCAGCCTTTTTAAATCCATGATTTTTGTGGAGAGAAGGAAGAACAAATATTTTGATTGGAAACAACTCTTCTCATTCTTAGCGGATCTTATGTTTATTTCATCTGCAAGTTGCCTGTAGGCTTTCAGACAACATTGTTTCCTTTCAGATAGGATATAAGACAATTAGAAGTGATCAACCATGGATTTGTGTAGAAGGGAACAGAGATTAGGAGGAGGCTTTGGAGTGGTGCTAGAGCTTGGAGAGCAACAGAATTTAGGCACATCTTTTTCTCTTCTTTCCACTGTTTCATCTTAAAGAGAGCCAACATCTTTACTTGATATTTTGAACAAGAATCTAGTAAACAGCCTAAACTAGGCTGAGTTCTGAGACATAGAAATTTATTTTCAACATTATATAATGAGATGAATTACCAAGTCACAAGATAATGTATATATTTGAGTGCTTACCTCAGTTTCCATGAAGTGCTAAGTATATCTTGTAATAAATTAACAGTTAACACAATGAGAGATGATGTAAACAGTAAGAATTTAATGCTGCAGAAAATGAGTTAATTTTTTTCTACCACATCAAATTGTATTTTTCCTGTTTCTTTCCCTCCCTCCCTCCTTCCCTCCCTCCCTCCCTCCTTCCTTCCCTCCCTCCTTCCTTCCCTCCCTCCCTCCCTTCCTCCCTCCCTCCCTTTCTTCCTTCCTTCCTTCCTTCCTTCCTTCTTTTTTTTTTGGTGCTGGTACTGGGGCTTGAACTCAGGGCCTCCACTCCCATTTTATGGCTCAAGACTAGTGCTCTGCCACTTGAATTGTACCTCCACTTCTGGACCTTTGCTGGTTAATTGGAGACAAAGAGTCTCTTGGATTTGTCCAGGCTGGCTTCAGATCTTGATCTTAAGATCTCAGCTTTCTGAATAGCTAAGATTATAAGTCTCTTTCTTGTTGTTTTATCCAACATTTACTTGAGTCTCTACAGAAGACACTTTTTTATACTATGAATGATTTTATTTCCCTTTTAAAAAAATCTTAATTTTTGCTTCTTTTTACAAGATTACTAACTATATTTTACTGAATAAAAAACCCTAGTCTACTTTACTAAAAGTAAGTCAGCTGGTAAAAGGAGAGATTCACAATCCTCTATTTCTAATCTCTGAGTTATTTTACACACTACTATTAATGAAAACTAACTGTCATTAGTTAGTTAAAATTTCTATTATATAGAGGATTTTCCAATTCTTCAAAAAATAATTTTATAACCAAATCTATCCTATGCTGTATTTTATATTATATTCTGTTAGTAAAAATATTTTCCACGCCTCATATATGAAAGCAGATAGCTTTTTTAAGTGTAAATGGCAACAGCAACAGAAGATGTAGGCTCTGGGGGGTATACATCATGAAGCAGCCTAGCTGTAGAGAATTCTGTCAGACTGACCACAGCAGGAAAGAAGATAAAGCAGATATTGTTTGTAGGGCCAATGAACTTTATTGGGAAATTGTGTAATCATCTCTAATTTCCATTTTAGAGAGAACCATTATAAACATTTGGTATGGACATTTATTATTTTTTCTTATGCATGATTTTGTATATATGGCTATTTTCCCACAAAAATATAAAACTGTATATAGTGTTTGTATCCTACATATTTCATATAGAAGTATATTGTTAACATTTTCCCATGTCAATAAATATTCTTCTATGGCTCAATCTCTTACGGCTATGTTGTATTTTTGTCTTTTTGGATGCACTATAGTGTTACTAGTTTTCCATTTTCTTTTTCCCAGTTTTTAAGATTTTCTTCCATCTGTCACTTTGATAAATAAATGTGAAAAATTCATTGGATACCTTTTTTTTTTTTTTTGTATTTTTTGGTGCCAGTCCTGGGGCTTGAACTCTGGGCCTGGGTACTGTCATCACTTTAGCCACAGCTCCATGTCTAGCTGTTTTTGATGGCTAATTAAAGATAAGGGTCTCCTGGACTTTGTTTCACAGTCTGGCTTCAAACCACTGTCCTCAGATCTCAGCCTCCTGAGTAGCTAAGATTACTGGAGTGAGCTACTGGCGTCCAGGGGACACCTATTTTTATATGTAGCTCAACTGGTTCCCTTAGAAAAAACAGGAAATGGGATTCCTTGGGTAGAGGTTTGTACATTCTAATAGCTCTTCATAGGTTTAGTTGAATTGCTCACTAAAGTTTTGTGCATTTTATACCCAGTGTTGTATGAGAATATACTTAGTATTCTGATAAAAAAATGTGATAAAATAGACTATGTGATAGATAAAACTCACAGTTCCCAGCTTTAAAAATTAATCTTTGTTTTAAAAAATAATTGTAGTTTCACAAGAAGTTGAAAAATAGTAAAGCAGTCCCTATATACCCATAAGTCAGCTTCTAGTAGTAACATTTTACAAAGCTATTACATTTTCCAAACCAGAAAATGTATTCCTAGTTGTTTTGTGAGCTACATGATTTGCAAATATGTTCTCAGCCTGTAGCTTGTCTTTTCATTGTATCGGTATCATTTGTAGAGTAGTTACTGTGTAAACAAAAAAAAATGTGTGTACTTACAATTGCACTTGAGTAGGAGAGACCAGTTTGCAAAAGGAGCCAGGATGACTACAAAAATAGCATGAAAACCTAATCACAGGGTTTTGTTATATGTAAAGTATCTATTAAGCTAGAAGATTAAAAATAATACATAAATGCATATAAACAGGCACCTTCTAATAACTTAGTCATTATTAGTTTCAGTAATTTGTTTTCAAAATCTTGATGGCTATGTATAGGATATACAGCTGGAAGTCATGTGCAAGATGGTACTTAACAGTTTAAAAATGTTTTATAATACACATTGCAGTTCAGTATCTATGGCTCATATCTATATTCCTGCCTACTTGGGAGTCTGAAATGTTAATGATTATGCTTCTGACTATCCAAGGCAGACAACTTTGAAAGACTTATCTCCATTGACCAGAAAAAGACTGGAAGTGGAGATGTGGCTCAAATGGTAAAGCACCGTGAGTGGGGAAGGGGTACTGAGTGATAGTATGAGGCCTTGAGTTCAGACCTTAGTACTGGCACCAAAAAAATAAGTAGACATCAATCACATTGATAAACCTGATGATGATGGTGTGTGTGTGTGTGTGTGTGTGTGTGTGTTTGGCGATCCACACAGCTTGCATATGCTATGCCAGCACTTTGCCTCTGAGCCACAGCCCAGTCATTAATGATTTTTAACACCGCCCCCCCCTGCCAAAATAAAACCAGCTACCAAGTCTGAACATGTGCAGCACTCCAACCTTCACTCTTCTTTGCTTCATTTATTCAGTAACAAAAGGCTCTAGGAAAGGTTTGGAAAAAGTCAAATAGTGATTGTTTTATATACTTTCTTAAAATCCAGCCTGCAAAAACAGAGACTTTAGAACATACAATGTGAAGTGGGAAGGAAAGAAAAGCTGATAAACATTTTGCTGACTTTGTAGTGTAAGATAAGGTACACAAGTGAACAAGATGACTGCAAGCACTGTAGATAAGATTGTAAAGGAACTCTGGTCCACATAAAAATAGGTATTTGTTCTATGTATGGTAATCTGTAGGTATTTTCACATCGGCAGATACCTTATGTCCTTTGGTTGTGGGGAGTTGCCTTTAAGGCAGTAGTCTTCTGGATAGATATCATTCTGGTAAAAGGATAATAATGAATTTGATTTTTCCAGTTCTGGGGCTTGAACTCGGCCTGGTTGTAGTCCCTGAGCTTCTTTTGCTCAAGGCTAGTGCTCTACCCTTTGAGCCCAGCACCACTCATGGCTTTTTCTGAGTAGTTTATTGGAGATAAGAGTCTCATGGACTTTCTTGCCTGGGCTGGATTCAAACTGTGATCCTCAGATTTTAGCCAGCTTAATAGCTAGGATTACAGGTGTGAACCACAAGTGCCCAGCATAATTATGAATCTTATTAGACCACATTTAATCCTGTTTTACCTTAAGTGAAAATAATGATGCTAAGTGAAATGAACTCCAAGATATGGAAACAAGAGGTTTTTGTTTATTGTTGTGGTGTTTTTTTTTTTTGGGGGGGGGGGGTCTGGTCATGGGGCCTGCACTCTGGGCCTGGGTGCTGTCCCTCAGCTCTTCAGCTCAAGGCTAGAGCTCTACCACTTGAGCCAAAGTGCCACTTCTGGCTTTTTTTCTTTTCTTTTCTTTTCTTTTTTTATTGTGAGAATATGGTACACAGCCAGCTTTTTTTTTTTTTTTTCCTTTTTGCTTATGTGGTGCTGAGGAATCGAACCCAGGGCCTCATGCATGCAAGGCAAGAGCTCTACCACTGAGCCACCTTCCCAGCCCATATTGTTGTGGTTTTTTAAAGTACTATGTGAAGTTACTTCTTTCTTTTTTCTTTAGTTTTTTTTTTTTTGTTGTTGTTTTTTGTTTTGTTTTTGGTCGGTCGTGGGCCTTGAACTCTGGGCCTGGGTGTTGTCCCTCAGCTTTTCAGCTCAAGGCTAGCACTCTACCACTTGAGTTACAGCGCCACTTCCTTTCTTTAGTTTTTTTAAAAATTATTTTTTCAGTCAGAGAATGTGATGTTAGGAAAACGAACCCTCAAATATGTATTTTAATGTTTTTGTTTCTTTCATGCATGTGTTTCTAACGCATTTATAAGGTTATTTCTTTGTTGCTTTGTATGTCGCTCCCCCACAGTGTAACCCCCGCTTTCACTATATTTG